CTATTAAAAAAATATAGCCTGCGGATCCAATGCAATTTTCAGTATCAATGAAATAAATATTTCTTATATAGAATTAAGATGTACATATTATTTAAAAACAAAAAATTAAATATAAATTGTATTAAAATATATTTTTAAATAAAAAGGCATAGATTTTTTAAAATCATTTTTAAGGGTTTACCAAGGCGTGGATTTTTATACCCTACACAACTATGTTGTCAGGGTATTATAGCTTTGTGCAGCCCCAAAAGTTTGTAACGCCGCGAAATATTGGTCCTATACACACCTTTAAGTATATCTCGACTAGCTGAGTCGATCTAGACATGTGTGTCCGTCCGTCCGTCTGCCCATTATAATTTGTAAACACGATACAGGCCACAGTTATGAACCAATCTTCACGAAATTTTGCATGTAGGATGGGTTCTGTCCAATGAAGACCCCTATTGGAAAAGATCGGTTAATATTTAGGGGATGAAATGGACCAAAAACTTTATTTTTGTCGGTTTTTCTGGTCGCTTCAGAGGCCGCAATTATGACCCAAACACCGCGAATTTTGGACGAAGAAGGGGATCGGGCCAAAGAATAAGTATGCCTATCGGTCAATATTTAGCGGGTCAAATGGACCCTGACTTTTGTGTGAAAAATTACAAAATTTTTATTCTATGGGGTATATATTTGCACCTGAAGATCCTAGACCCGAGAAGTTGATAGTATGTTCAAGAGAAGTGGTTGACCTTTAAATTGATACCAATTATATTGTCGTATTTACTCGGATGCGGGACTTACACAAACATATTTACAGTTGCTTACGTATTCGTATATTATTTAGTAACCCATTACCATGCTAGAAGGCGGAACTATAGCGCTGATCGCTTTGAAATTTTCCATAAGGTTCAAGTTATGGTCACCGACAACGCCTATAATTTTCGGTGATGATCAGATAATAATTTTGGGATGAAGTGGACCAAAAACTTATTTTTTGTTGTTTTTTTCGAGTCGATCTATAGGCCAAAATTGGTCGATTTATGCCTGTCCGTCCGTCAGTCTGTCTGTTAAATTGTAAACAAAGTACAGGTCGCAATTATAATCCGGTTTGGATGAAATTTGGCACAGCTCATTTGTCTGGCCCAAGGACGAACCCTATTGAAATTGGGAAGAATCGGTTCAGATTTAGATATAGCTCCCATATATAGTTTCGTCCGATTTAAAGTAAATGGTGGACCAAAGTCCCTATATACCATTCGATTTGCACGATATGTGGCAAAGAGTACTGAATTAGGTACAGAATGATGTGTGCCAAGTTTCAAGAAAATCGGTTCAGATTTAGATATAGCTCCCATGTATATTTTCATCCGATTTTATGTAAATATAACCAAAGTCCTTATATAACTATCGATTTGCACGAATTTTGACATAGGGTACTGCATTGAGTGTAGAATGATGTGTGCCAAGTTTCGTGAAAATCGGTTCAGATTTAGATATAGCTCCCATATATATTTTCGTCCGATTTTATGTAAATGTAAATATTTCGATTCGCACAAAATTTTGCATAGCGTACTAAATTGCGCCAGAATTAGATCCTGATAGATGTATGCGCAATTTTGTTAAAATCAGTTAAGATTTAAATATAGCTCCCATTTATAGTGTCGTCCGATTTTATGTAAATGGTGCACCAAACTTCCAATATTATTCAGAGTGGGACAAAATTTTGCACAGTGTACTAGATTAGGTCCAATTTGATGTACGTGAAGTTTTGATGAAATCCGTTCAGTTTTAGATATATTTCTCCCATATATAGATAATTCGATTATATGCAAGTGATTCAGGAAGTTTTGTTGAAATCGATTCAGATTTAGATATAGCTCCCATATATATTTTCGTCCGATTTTAGGTAAATTGTGCACCAAACTTTCAATATTTATTTCTATTGAGACAACATTTTGCAGAGCGTATTAAAATAGGTCCACATTGATGTATACGAAGTTTTGTGAAAATCGGTTCAGATTTAGATAGAGCTCCCATATATAGTTTCGTCCGATTCTATTCCGTATAGGACCAGATTTGCATATAGCTCCACATACATTATTTTGCTCTATTTCATACAAATGGTACACAAAAGAATCCGGTTGACATACAATTTTTCATAGATTTCAGATTTAATTTCATGGGTTTTAATCGGTTCAAATATCTATGTAGATCACACATTTAGTTTCACCCCATTCCATTTCAATGGTACTCTAAATATTATATGTATGTTCTCTCTAGAGTATATTGTATATATTACCATCTCTTGTATGTATCTTTGGCCCCACCGTCGGAAAATTCAGTCTTCATGAAGATACATCCGACAACGGCATGAGGTTGATTGACTTCGCGGCAGAAAAAAACATGGTAGTTAGCAGCACCAGATTCAAGCATCTCGATATACACAAGGCCACTTGGATCTCCCCTGATCAAGCAACGAGAAATCAAATTGATCATGTTGTGATAAACGGAAGGTATTCATCCAGTGTTTTTTTAGACGTCTGATCGATCCGAGGATCGATTCGGACCATTACCTTGTAGCAGCAAAGGTACGCAACCCGTCTTAATGTAGCAGCAAAGGTGCGATCTACGGAAACTCGACGTCGAAAAGCTGCAAACACAACAGGTAGCCGAGGCCTACTCCGCTCAACTTACCCATCTGCTTGAAGAAAGCACTTCTTGTGCCGATAATAGTATAGAGGCACAATGGCAAAGAATTGCCCACTCCCTACAAACTGCAGCAAAAGCAACACTTGGGTACCAAAAACCACCACCAAGAAACCCATGGTACGATTAGGAGTGTCGTAGTGCTGCTGATGTGAAAAACGCAGCGTATAGGACAACCTTGCAGACAGTAGCAACACGTAACGTGATGGAGAATTATCGGGATGAAAGGAGAGAGGAGAAACGTGTTTTAAGAAAAAAGAAGAAAGAACAAGAAAAACGTGAGCGTGAGCAAATCGAGATGTACAGGAATCAGAATGAAGTCCGGAAATTTTACCAACGAGTAAAACACCAAACCGAAGGCTTTAGTGCATGCACATCCTCCTGTAGAGATGAAAAAGGAAACTTGGTTACATATACAGACAGCGTGTTGAGGATCTGGAAGGAGCATTTTGAAAAGCTTCTAGTATCAAATAGTGGCGTTGAAGAAGATACCCAGAACCAATAAGAGATGATGGTTAGAGTGTATACCACCTAGCCAAGATAAGGCCATAAAATCAATTAATCGGCTCAAGAACAATAAAACAGCAGGAGCCGATGGGTTATCAGCCGAACTATTCAAGACTGGTGGCCAGATGCTGGTCAGGAGCATGCACCAGCTGATTAGTACAATTTGGCTAGAGGAATACATGCCCAATGATTGGAAACTCAGCATCCTGTGTCCCGTGCACAAAAAAGGAGACAAGACGATATGTACCAACTATAGAGGAATAAGTCTCCTTCCCATCTCATATAAAGTGCTATATAGCGTGCTGTGTGAACGACTGAAGCCAATGGTCAATGACATTATTGGACCATACCAATGCGGCTTAAGAAATGGCAAATCCAACATTTACCATTTTTCACTCTGCGCCAAATCCTGGAAAAGACCCAAGGAAAACACATCGACACATACCACCTATTTGTCGACTATAAAGCCGCATTCGACAGCCCTATCCGGAAAAGACCTATCGGAGCCCTTCAATATCGAACGAGGATTCAGACAAGGTGACAGTTTGTCGTGTGATCTTTTTAACATCCTGCTAGAAAAGGTCATACGAGACGCAAAGATGAACAGAAATGACACTCTGTACTCTAAACAACACATGTTACTCGCCCACGCCGGTGACATCGTTATAATGTGTCGAACATCGAAAAGGAGTCTGCCAATGTGGGTCTGGCAGTAAACGGCGAGAAGACCAAGCTGATGGTATCAACGCGCAAGACGTCCAGTAGACTCGGACCAACTGTGGAACTTGAGAACTACAGCTTCGAGGTAGACAAAGACTTTGTATACCTTGGTAACGCCATAAATAAAACGAATGGCATCAGTTTTGAAATTCGGAGAAGGACTGTGATGGCCAACCGATGCTACTATGGTCTAAGTAAGCAGATTAGAAACAAGACCACCTCCCGCCAGACAAAATTCACACTTTACAAGACGCTGATACTACCCGTGGTATTATATAGATCAGAAGCATGGGTACTTGCGCAAGCAGATGAGGCTGCTCTTGGGGTGTTTGAAAGAAAAATTCTCCGAAAGGTCTACGGGCCGATCTGCGTCGACGGTGAATATCGGCGTCGAATGAACCAGTCGTATTGAGCTGCATCGACTACGGTGGCTAGGCCATGTAGTGCGGATGAATGAGAATGCCCCAGCACAAAAGGCACATAAAAACGAGCCTACTGATAGTTCCCGTAGAAGGGGAAGGCCACGAATTAGATGGAAAGACCAAGTAGAAAAAAAACATCTTGGAACGTGGTCTTCCAAATTGGTGGATTTGCGCACAAAATCGACGCACTTGGAAATCTTTTTTAAGCTCGGCATATGGAACAACCGTTCTGTAACAAGCCAGCTAAGCTAAGCTGTATGTATCCAAAGTGGTGAAGGGTATCACATAGACTTTTGATATTTCCTTACTGGTTAAAATTAATTTTTTGGGGTATAGCTAAAGGCGCAGATTTTTAAAATAAATTTTTGGGCGAACATTTTCAAAATTAATTTTTCGGGGTATTTGGACTCCTAAAAAATATGGAAACACCAAAGGAATTTTTTATTGTTTATTTTTAAATATTTTTCCACTAAAACATACACACATATATTATTTCTATAAAGCTCTTGAAATATTACTTTTATAATTTTCTTAAATATATATTTTCTTTGTAATACTAATATTTAATTATATACATAAAACTTAAAGTTAAAAAAATTATTCGATATTTTTCCTTAGACTTCGGCTGTTGCCGGGTTTCGTATAACATCCGCGGTATTCGCTGATAATTTTATAAGACCCAATTGATTTTCTGAAAAAAAACAAGAAGAAACATGAATTACTAATTAAAAAAGTAACATAAAAAATAATCTTTAAAAAATCCACGCCTTGGATAGGAGTTTGAAAAAATATTCTTTAAAAAATCCACGCCTTGGATAGGAGTTTGAAAAAATATTCTTTAAAAAATCCACGCCTCGTATAGCCCTTTGAAAAAATATTCTTTAAAAAATCCACGCCTCGGATAGCAGTTTGAAAAAATATTCTTTAAAAAATCCACGCCTCGGATAGCAGTTTGAAAAAATATTCTTTAAAAAATCCACGCCTCGGATAGCAGTTTGAAAAAATATTCTTAAAAAAATCCACGCCTAGGATAGCAGTTTGAAAAAATATTCTTTAAAACATCCACGCCTCGGATAGCAGTTTGAAAAAATATTCTTTAAAAAATCCACGCCTCATATGGCCCTTGAAAAAATATTCTTTAAAAAATCCACGCCTTGGGTAGCCCTTTGAAAAAATATTCTTCAAAAAATCCACGCCTCGTATAGCCCTTTGAAAAAATATTCTTTAAAAAATCCACGCCTTGGGTAGCCCTTTGAAAAAATATTCTTCAAAAAATCCACGCCTCGTATAGCCCTTTGAAAAAATATTCTTTAAAAAATCCACGCCTCGTATAGCCCTTTGAAAAAATATTCTTTAAAAAATCCACGCCTCGTATAGCCCTTTAAAAAAATATTCTTTAAAAAATCCACGCCTCGTATAGCCCTTTAAAAAAATATTCTTTAAAAAATCCACGCCTCGTATAGCCCTTTGAAAAAATATTCTTTAAAAAATTCACGCCTCAAGTAGGCCTTTGAAAAATCCACGCCTCGGGTAGCCTTTTGAAAAAATATTCTTTAAAAAATCCACGCCCCCTTGAAAAAATAATCTTTAAAAAATCCACGCCTCATATGACCCTTGAAAAAATAATCTTTAAAAAATCCACGCCTCATATGGCCCTTGAAAAATAATCTTTAATAAATCCACGCCTCATATGGCCCTTGAAAAAATAATCTTAAAAAAATCCACACCTCAAATAGCCCGTAAAGATATACCTTAAAAAATCCACGTAATACTCACCTTTATGATCCACATTATAGGATATTTTCCTCCTAGCATAGATGCACATAATGATCAGGATATTAAAGGCCACCACACAGGCTATAATGGCCAAAATGAAGAACCATTTCAGCCAAGGTTTCGATGTAAAGGCCAATAAGGTCTGCGGCTCACAACGCATATCCGCAATGGAATATTGATAACCCTCGCCACAGGCACAGGTACCATTCGGCCGACAATAGCCATAACCACATTGATAATCTTCATCACATTTCACCACACACCCTTGGAGTTTATCGCCGTTTAAAAGTAACATATCGTCGGGACAAATACAGGCATCATTCATGCACAGACCATGAAGACAGGTTAATTGGGAGCAAGCGAAATTTATTTCCGCTGATTTTAAAATAATTTTTTGTTCCTTACATTGCTCGGTCTCCTCATTGATTGCATAGCCTTCATTACATTGACAGCTATTGGGTGCGATACATTTGCCATTCGTGCATCCATCAAGGCATTGGGGTTCACATATCCCATCTGCAGATTTTTCATAACCTTCATCACATTCACATTCATTGGGCGCCACACATAAACCGTGTTCACATGCTGAGTTACATTCCGGACGACATTCAGAATCATCTTCCTGGCGACTGTAGCCTTCTAAGCATTCGCAAACCCCAGGAGCTATACACAAGCCATTTGAACACCCCTTATCGCAGAGGGGTTCACATATATCAGCAGACACCTTCGAATATCCCTGTTGACATTCACATACATTGGGCGCCACACATGAACCATTGATGCAACTATTCTCACAATGGGGTTCACATTGCCGAGTGGAATTCATCGTATAGCCTTCGGAACATTCACATACCTCTGGTTCCACACATTTTCCATTAGGGCAGCCATTCGAGCATTGGGGTTCACATGCTTGTAAGGGACTTATCAAGTAACCCTCACTGCATTGACAAACATTTGGTGATACGCATTCTCCATTTAGGCAGGGCGGATCGCATGAGGGAATGCATTTATGTTCAGAGGATTTTACAAAGCCTTCGTGGCATTCACAAAGATTGGGGGCTATGCACAAGCCATGTTCACATCCTTCGGGACAAATGGGTTCACAGTGTTGGGTTGCATTTAAAGAAAATCCCTCGAGGCATTCACATTTTCCAGGTGCCCTGCAAACACCATTCTCACAAGGTGGATCACATGATGGAACGCATGTATTATCTGCAGATTTTACAAAACCCTCCAGACACTCACAAATTTGCGGAGCTACGCACAAACCATGTTCACAACCATCCTCACAAAGGGGTTCACATTGCCCTGACGCATTTAAGGCATAACCCTCGTCACACAAACATTGTTGAGGTGCCACGCATATTCCATTTCCACAATTCGGCTGACATATGGGTTCACAAATCCCGCTAGAATTCATATGGAACCCATCAAGGCATTCGCATTTTTCGGGGGCCACACAATTGCCATTTGGACAACCCGAGAGGCAAATGGGTTCACATTTCGTGGCGGAAATTTGGCCATAACCATCATTACATTCACATAGATTTGGTTGGGAACATATGGCATTTTCACAACCTCCCGGGCAGATGGGTTGGCATTTATTTTCAATACCCATTTCATAACCCGTGAAACATTCACACTCGCCTGGCTGCAGACATCTTCCATTTTGGCATGCCGGCTCACAAATTGGTTCACACAGGGTTGCATTTTTATTGAAATAGCCCTCCATACATTTGCATTTTTCGGGGGCCACACATTTTCCATGCACACAACTTCCTTCACACTGGGGTTCACATATGCCCCCTTCACTTAGCTCATAACCTGTGTGACATTGACACTGATTCGGGGCCAAACAATCGCCATTTGAACAACCCGATTCACAGATAGGATCACAATGATACGGAACTAGTGCCGATTTGGAATAACCCTCAAAACAGGCACATGCATTTGGGGCAATACATTTGGAATTATTGCAGGGAGGTTCACACACCGTGTCACATTGGTTCACATTTCCTTGCTCCGACATTTGATAACCTTGCAGACATTTGCAAATTCCTGGGGCTAGACATTCTCCATTCACGCAGGGAGGTTGGCAAATTGGTTTACAAATTGTATCCGAAAATTTTTCATAACCCTCCAAACATTCACAAGTATTGGGCGCCACACATTTTGAATTTTCACATGCAGGATCGCAAATGGGTTCACATTTTCCCTCTTCGGACATTTGATAACCCTGGAGACACTCACACACTCCCGGAGCAATACATTTGCCATTCCCGCACTCCATTTCGCAAATTGGTTCACATTCTTTGGGAGTGAGGATTTTGAAACCTTTTAAACATGAACAGGTATTGGGCGCCACACACTCCCCATTTTTACAACCATCGGCACAAATGGGTTCACAAAAATTTGCCACGTTCATTTTATAACCCTCATCACACTGACAGGTCTCGGGCGCAATACACCTTCCATTGGGACAACCGGATTCACAGATGGGTAGACAGACATTGGGTGTATCAGCGGCATATCCGGGGAAACATTCGCATACATTTGGCGCCACACAATTGCCGTTATGACAGCCACCACGACAGACGGGTTCGCAGCGATTCGGCGATATCATGCCATAGCCCTCGTGGCAGGAACAAACCTCAGGGGCAATACAGGCGGCATTGATACAACCTGATTCACAAAACGGTTCACAGGAACCATTCACAGCTGACTTGGAATAACCCGCTAGGCATTGACACTCATTGGGAGCCAGACACAAGCCGTTGACACAACCTCCTTGGCAGATAGGTTCACAAATATTCTCCTCAGCAGACATTTGATAACCCTCCAAGCATTCACATTTTCCGGGAGCAATGCAGGTGCCATGCGAGCAACCTTGTTCGCAAATTGGTTCACAAATATTCTGATCATCTGACATTTGATAACCCTCCAAGCATTGACATTTTCCGGGAGCAATGCAGGTGCCATGCGAGCAACCTTGTTCGCAAATTGGTTCACATGTTACATTATTATTCGATAACTGATAACCCTGATTACATTCACAGCGGTTTGGTGCCACACATTTGCCATGATCGCAATTGCCTTCGCATACCGGTTGGCATAGTTCATCACCTGCGGATTGATATCCCATATTGCACGCACATTTTCCTGGGGCCACACATTTTCCATTCGGGCATTGGGAATTACAAATTGGGGCACATTCTGAGCGGGAGATGGCAGAATAACCTGCGAGGCACTCACACACATTAGGTTCTACGCAAAGGCCATTCTGACAAGCCGGCAAACATTGTGGCTTACATATACCCTGCTCCATGACAAAGCCTTCCAAGCACTCACACGTTTCCGGGGCAATGCATTTGCCTTTGGGACAACCCTGGGAACAGGTGGGTTCACACATTTCATTGCCTACTAAATGATAGCCATTATGGCACTCACATTTCCCAGGAGCAATACAGCTACCATGTGGACATCCGCTTGGACATATGGGTTGACATTTATTCGCAGTCACCTCTGAGTAGCCCTCTAGGCATTCACATTGATTTGGTAACACACACTTTCCATTTTCACATCCTCCCTTACATTGGGGTTCACACTGGCCGTTAATCATCTCATAACCCTGCAGGCATTCACATTTTTCTGGAGCCACACATCTAGCATTCGGACAGCCCCATGAACAACGCGGCTCACACTGTGTGGGAGATTTTCGTTCATAGCCATCATGACATTCACAGAGATTTGGTGCCACACATTTGCCATGCGGACAATTGTTATCACAGATGGGTTCACATAATTCCGCAGCGGCCTGACGATAGCCTTTATAGCACTGACATTTGCCCGGTGCCTCGCACATACCATTTGGACATCCTGATTTACATATTGGTTGGCATTCACTGGGAGATGATGATGGCTGATAACCCGACAGACATTCACATTGATTGGGCGCCACACATTTGGAATTTTTACAAATCGGCGAGCATACAGGATCACATTTCCCCTCCGCATTTAAGTGATAGTCCTCGTTGCATTTACAAACCCCTGGGGCCACACATTTACCATTTGCACAACCCCGCTCACAAAGGGGTTCACATGTTCCACCACCATTAGAGGCCTTGACATAACCCTTATTGCATTCACAAACATTGGGTGCCACACAACGGCCATTTGGACAACCTGCGCTACAGATGGGCTGACATTCTTCATCCTCCGCAGATTTTTCATACCCCTCATTACACTGACACTTCTCAGGTGCCACACATTTGCCATTTACGCATGGTGTATGGCAAATGGGTTCACATGATGACGGCGAAACTTTGGCAAATCCCCGCATACATTCACATAAATTTGGGGCCACGCACCGAGCATTTTTACAGCCCTCACGGCAAACGGGCTGGCATTTTTGATTCGCATCCATTTCATAACCATTTTTGCAGGAACAAATACCAGGAGCTGTACATAAACCATTTACACAGGGTTGCGTACAAACCGGTTCACATTTTCCCTCCGAGGACATTTCGTAGCCCGCATTGCAAACGCATTTACCGGGCATTTTACATGAACCATTTTCACAGTTGGGACAGGCCGGCTGGCAGGAGTCACCTTTGAGTTCGAAATTTTCATAACAGCTACACTTGCCGGGGGCACTACAAAAACCACGCTCACATTTGCCACAATCGGGAACACACCTGAGAAATTATTGAATTTAATTAATTTTCGTTCCTTCGAGATCGGCTTAAAATCGCACTCACCTGGATTTCTCCACTTCGCTGAAAAATCGATAGCCCGGCAAACACTCACATTCGTTGGGTTTAATGCATTTGCCATTGGCACAGCCTTTACGGCAAATGGGTTCGCAGCTGCCCTTAATCATGCGATAACCGCGGCAGCAGAACTTCACAATGCGGGTAACCGTTGTGGTCTGGGAAGAGAGGAAAGAAATACAAAAAAATAAAACATTTGTTCATTAAGGAAAAGAAAAATTGTTTACATGGGTCCACAAGAGGTGTGAATTAAATGAAGTGTTTTCAGAGGTTTACAAGACGCGTGGATTTTTCGAATAATTTTTTCAGGGGTCAAACCAAGGCCTATTCAAGTTTCAATATGAGGTGAGGATTTAAAAAAAAATTGATGAGTATGATGTGGGTTAATACATGAATGTGGCAAATATTTTTGAACTCATATGCGCCGATGGTAGTGGCGCCCAAAACATGTGAATACTTGAAGGGTTATCAATTCCTCACGCCCAAGCAATGTAAACCAATTTGCGAAATAGAATGCGAGAATTGCAAGTGTATTGCTCTGGGAGTGTATGAGTGTCTCCAGGTTTATCAGATATCAGCAGAGGGAAAATGTGATACCGCATGTCAAAATTCCAAATGAGTGGCGCCCAACACCAGTAAGTGTATGGAGGGTTATGAAAAATTATCAGAGACCATTTGCAAACCAATTTGCCAACTACTTCGCCGAAATGGTAAATGTGTAGAACAGGAATTTTGCAAATCTCTGCAAGGTTGTAAAATGTCGGTCTTTATTTGATGAAATCCCAGCTTTGTATAGATACTTAAAAAATATTTTAAAAAATTTAGAAATATTTTTAACCCTTATAGGCCGTAAAAAATATTTTTAGGACCTATAGGTCTTAAAAAAGTATTTACCAAAAAACCACAGCTTGTGTTAATGTTGTTTTGAAAAAAATAGTTTTTTATTCTAAGCCTTAATGTTGTTTTGAGAGATTTTTTTTTTAAATCCAATCCTTATAGTTTTTATACCCTACACAACTATGTCGTCAGGGCATTATAGCTTTGTGCAGACCCAAGAGTTCGTAACTCCGCGAAATATTGATCCTAGACCCACCTCTAAGTATACCGATCATCATATATGGACTAGTTGAGTCGATCTAGACATGTGTTTCCGTTCGTTCGTCCGTCTGTCCATTATAATTTGTAAACACGATACAGGCCACAATTATGGCCTGTATCGTGACAGTAACACTTAAATATTTACAGGTGCTTACGTATTCATATATTATTTAGTAATCCATTACCACACTAGAGGGCGGAAATATAGCGCTGATCGCTTTGAAATTTTCCATGAAGATCCAGGTAAGGTGAAGGACAAGGCTTATAATTTTCGGTGATGGTCAGATAAACATTTTGAATGAAATTGACCGAAAACCTATTTTATGTGTTTATACCCTTCACCACCCTGTGGTACAGGGTATTATGTCTTTGTGCATATGTTTGTAACAGGCAAAAGGAAACGAGATAGACACATGGTTCCTTTTGAAAATATGCATAGAATCATTTTCTGAGTCGATTGATGCATGTCCGTCCTTCCATCTGTCCGTAGATGTTTAATTGTAAACAAAGTACAGGCCCAATTTACGATCCGATTTAGATGAAATTTGGCACAAGTCGCTTATTTGGCCCAAGGACGAACCCTATTGAAATTGGGAAAAATCGGTTCAGATTTAGATGTAGCTCCCATATATAGTCTTGTCCGATTTTACGTAAATGGTGCACCAAAGCCCCTATATATCCTCGATTTGCACGAAATTTGGCATAGAGTACTGAATTAGGTCCAGGATGACGTGTCCCAAGTTTTGAGAAAATCGATTCAGATTAAGATATAGCTCCCTTATAAAGTTTTGTCCGATTTAAGGTAAGTGGGGCACCAAAGTCCCTATATATCTTTCGATTTGCACGCAATTTGGCATAGAGTACTGAATTAAGTCTAGAATAATGTGTGCTAAGTTTCGTAAAAATAGGTTCAGATTTAGATATAGGTCCCATATATATTTCCGTCCGATTTAAGGTAAATGGGCCACCAAAGTCCCTATATATCTTTCGATTTGCACGAAATTTGGCTCAGCATACTGAATTAAGTCTGGAATAATGTGTGCTAAGTTTCGTGAAAATCGGTTCAGATTTATATATAGCTCCCATATATATTTCCGTCCGATTTAAGGTAAATAGAGCACCAATGTCCCTAAATATCTTTCGATTTGCACGAAATTTGGCATAGACTACTGAAGAAGGTCAAGAATGATGTGTGCTAAGTTTCGTGAAAATCGGTTTAGATTTAGATATAGCTCCCATATATATTTTTGTCCGATTTAAGGTAAATAGTGCAGTAAAGTTAAAGGTTAAAAGCTATGTCAAATTTCGTGCAAATCGAAAGATATTTAGGGATATCTTTCGATTTGCACGAAATTTGACATAGCGTCCTGAATTGACCATAGAATGATGTGTGCTAAATTTCGTGAAAATCAGGTTCAGATTTAGATATAGCTCCCATATATATTTTCATCCGATTTAATGTAAAGTCCCAAAATATCTTTCGATTTGCACGAAATTTGGTATTGCCTATTGAATTAAGCCTAGAATGATGTGTGCTAAGTTTCGTGAAAATCGGTTCAGATTTAGATATAGCTCCCATATATATTTCCGTCCGATTTAAGGTAAATGGTGAACCAAAGTCCCTATATTTCTTTCGATTTGCACGAAATTTGATCCAGCGTTTTGAATTGAGTCTAGAATGGTGTGCGTAAAATTTCTCGAAAATCGGTTCAGATTTAGATATAGCTCCCATATATATTTTCGTCCGATTTAAAGTAAATGGCGCACCAAAGTCCCTAATTATCTTTCGATTTGCACGAAATTTGGCACAGCGTACTGAATTAAGCCTAGAATGATGTGTGTTAAGTTTCGTGAAAATCGCTACAGATTTAGATATCGCTCCCATATATATATTTTCTTCCGATTTGAGGTAAATAGCGCACCAATGTCCCTAAATATCTGTCGATTTGCACGAAATTTGGTATTGCCTACTGAATTAAGCCTTGAATGATGTGTGCTAAGTTTCGTGAAAATCGGTTCAGATTTAGATATAGCTCCCATATATATTTTCATCCGATTTGAAGTAAATGGAGCACCAAAGTCCCTGAAAATCATTAGATTTACACGAAGTTTGGTATTACCTACTAAATTAGGTCTAGAATGACGTGTGCTAAGTTTCGTTAAAATCGGTTCCGATTTAGATATAGCTCCCATATATAGTTTCGCCCGATTTTAGGTAAATAATGCATCAAAGTCCCTAAATAACATATTTCGATTTGCACGAAGGACATGAGTATGTTCCTTAGGTGGAACATTGACCTGCAATTGTAAGGATACATATCGACGCCTCCGAACCACAGTATGCTAAGTCTGAAAAGTGAGTTTTTCAGTAGAAGCTTTCAAAGTATGGAAGTTTCTTTAATCGTACGTGCCATGCTAAGTACATTTTTGCTTATAACTTTGGTTTGGATTGGCCGATGATTACGAAAATTTCAGTGAATTTAAATTAAGGACCGTAGTATCTAAAAACGTAAAGAACTTCAAAACATGCTAAGTCGACTTAGCATACTATGGTTCGGAGGCGTCGATATGTAGAATATACCCAAAGTGGTGATGGGTCGGCCCAGTCCGACTTTACAACTTTCTCTACTGGTTTTTTTTTTTGACTCGGGCTATACTGAATATTAGTAATTTTCGGAAAATATGTCAGTGTAAGGAAGAGGTGCTGTTGACCTCTAATTGGGCAAGAAGGCGTAACTATCACGAAATATTGCCTAGGCTCGGAATAAATATCCGCAGAGTTCCGTTGTTGACCCTACCAAAAAAAAAAAAAAAAAATAATAAAAAATCCACGTCTTGGTGGCCCTAGAAAATATGCTTTTAAAAATTCCACTCCTTGTAGTAAGCCTTAAAAAAATATGTTAAACAAATCCACGCCTTGTTGTAGAGCCTTGAAAAATATTCTTAAACATATTTTTTAAAAATGCTTCGAAAAAATGTTTTTAAAAAATCCACACCTCTGCTAGTTCGCAGTAGCAGCAAACATTTAAATCCGAATTTGTGTTTTTTTCCAAAATTATTTTAAATACACACACATATAAAAATAGACTAAATGCGTTGTTGTTGTTTAATCTTGCGGTTTATTTTAAAACCAAATTCTTAGTAGCATCACAGATATTTATGTGTCAACTGATATATAATTATAGGAATTGTATCACTTTTTGTTGTTGTTTAATTTTTTTCCGATTCTTGATCCTTTTGTGGCATATCCTTACCTCCTTAACAATTTGACCATTTTTCATAACTGTCTTTGTTACCGGCCGATTTGTTTTACGCGGACAAATATTACTGCCATTATTGGCCACGATCAGCGAGGCAAGACTCACAACGATAAATAATTTCAATAAAAACATAATTGCACTTTTTTATTTATTTTTTTCAACACAAAATTTGAATTCCAATTTTAGTTGTCATTTCAAAATAAATAACCACCATAAATGTCTGCGCCTGCTGCTGATGATGAATGATATTGACGTTGTTGCTTCTTATAAAGTTACACGCAAACTGTTCTCAAGCCATTATTAATTCCGATTGTGGCCAGAGATTTCGAATAAAAAAAGTTTTGAATTTTATTTTGTGATTTTTTATTTTTCGAAGAGAAATTCATAGTTTTAAAAATAAAACTCAATACTAAAAACAAAAAACCAATGAAATCTTCATCTGCCTTTAAATCAGCTTAGCTGGGGCCCCAATAAAATAATGGGTAAATGTAAGTCAATTTTTAGCGTCATATCCGTCTTTGTTTGTTCTTTTTGCAATTCGAATTCAATAGTTGCATTGTTTTGTGATAGTAACTCCTTGCAAAAAATTAAAAAAAAAATACTTATCATTTGCAAATACCAAGAACAATGTGGCGGGATACGACATGATGGGCATGCTACAAAGGCTGAAAATAGAAAGAAAAGAAGATTTAAAAAATAAACTATTTTTAAGGACCATTACAAGGCGTGGATTTTTAAAAAATATTTTTTCAAGGACCTTAACAAGGCGTGGACTTTTTTAAAAATATTTTTTCTA